CTACTCGACATTAATTGTTTGGATTTTCTATTCTTTATTCATCTCTACTTTTTAAGTATTTTGATGAGATATGATTCTTATTAAATTTTAATGTGAAGCTTTACTTCGTGATTTTTGAATAAAGTGAAATCTTACGTAATCCCTTGCGAGCACGTTGAACATCCTCATTGCAATAAATTATCATAGCCCCCTCTATATGATCCATGATACTCGTATAAAAAATACATTACATCACTAAGTCTGATCTTTGATACCGGACAACGAAATATGCTTTGTTAGTTTAGCAGGTAGTTCATTTCACGTTCACCAACCTATTGTTGATTTTCCCGTGATATAGTAACACTTCAAACTCTCTGGGAATTAAACGGCCAAGGATACACCACTTGGTAAGAATGCTCTAATAGTGCAAATAGGTTATAGGCCTATCTGGCTTTTCTAAATAGTTTCTTTTTTATTATATAGTTTTCTATGATATATGTTGTTATATATCATCTATTGTAAAATATATTTATGACATGGATTGGTATCATTAGACAACATAATCTAATTAACTATAATTGTATAAATGTTTTAGAAGAAAACCCCTGAACATTAAATTGTAACATAAAATTGTTCGCTAAGTACTGTACAAGTTCCCAACTTCTATCAGAACACGAAGGAAAAAGAATAAGTTTTCGCTGAATACGAAAACCTTTTAAATTCCCAGCCAATTGTAGGGTAAAGAATATGGAGGTAAAGAACTATTTTATTCGCCTGTTAATTGATGAGTAAAATATTTGTACTTTATAATTTCTATTGAAAATTATTGTTCGTACTTAATACAAACTAGCAATTTCAATTATAGAATTTTAAAGTTTATTAGGTCAACACACCTTAAGTTTAAAGAGCATGCCAGTAGAATTGGAGGAAATAAAGTGCTCTGGACAATCTTGACAATAGAATTGCAAAGTCGATAAAATTAATAATGGAATTATAAATAGCAGCTTACTCACAACACTGCCATTAATGGTTGCCGTCTTTAATACGGAACGCCAAAATCGACTTGTTTGAAAGTTGCCCCTTTGGCGTTCCATACAATCCTAGGTAAGAGGCTTAAGTCTAATTAAAATTAGCAGAAATAGGTTCCGAAATGGATTAATACCAAACTCAGCATGATGGATCAATAGGCAATAATTCAAATGCGAGCGAATTGCTCCGCTTAATACTTACTCCACAGCACGATTCAAATCTTTACAATACAAATCTCAGTGCTTATCACGTCTACTTTTACCAACAATTGGATTGGATTACTAATGCTATACCTCAACTGCTGTGAAGCACGTGTAATATATCTTAACACATGCTATTCGTCTGCTAAATCAATATCTGTTTTGTGAATGTTTTAAAATCAACCGAATGTTTGGTCTTTAAACGTTTGCAATATTTTTAACTCCGTATTTTCGATTTTGGATAATGCAGAAATATAATTTAATTCGATTTTGTTATAAATTGCTATTAATTATAAATTTTACTTGCGTATCATCATCATAATCATCACCATCATTATCATCATTGTCAACATCATCAACATTATTATCATCATCATCATAATCATCATATTCAACATAATTTTCATTATCGTCATTATCATTATGTCATTATCGTCATCGTCATCATCATTATCATTGTCATCATCATCATCATCGTTATTCATTATTATTATTATTATTATTATTATTATTATTATTATTATTATTGTTGTTGTTGTTGTTTTTTTTTTGTCGACTTTTGAGCTATAATTCGTATTAGTATATTGTGTAGGCCTATCGGTCATAACATAATAATAATTGATGATAATGCCAAGTTACAATTTAGTTTGTGACGTGTAATCTAGCAATATAGAATTATGAGATTACCTATTCTGAAGATTAAAGCAAAAATAAATTTGATCAGACAACTAGACATAGTTCGAGCAATTATTCGTATTAATTCGTAATTTTCCAGGATTCGTATATTTGAGCACTTGTGCCGGTCGATCTGAGTTGGAGTTAAAGTTGGCTACTGACAAAAAATATATCCATATTCGGAGAAGAGCTGCTTGGCCTCACAAAAATGTTGTTATAGAGGATTGCAACTACCTGCTGGTATTAAAGCACTTAACTAATGTATAGTGTTTATATTGCCATGTATGCCATTGTTTAAAATACTCGTTCAAATTCAGATACCTGTGGCAAAGACAAGTGGTTTCAAGTAATTATTATAAATATACTCTTCTTGACCACCACAACCTTTCAAGTAATCGCCGAACATCGGTCAAAATCGAGTCAGTGAAGTGTAACCGTGTTTGAAGCCGAAGTGTGTGTTATTCGCCTTCTATGTTTCAATCTGACTTGATTTTGAGCTTAGGGGTGGCAGCATCTTTACTAGTATTTCACCCAGAGGAAAGCCGTTGTGGAGGACTTTGAGCAGAGAACTGAGGGCAGAATGGGTCTGCCTTCATCTGGTGGTAGCTATGATCACGACCCATCAGAAAGGCTTCTAGCAGGATACCTAAACCATATGGATATTGATAAGAGCAAAGTCAAAAAGGTAATTGCGATCACGTCTTGCGACACGATATCACAACATATATCTAGGCCCCTAGTTAAATCTCAATTTAAATGGAAGACCGTTACCATGTTTATTAACAATAAATTCTGAAAATTTTTGACGAAAATAACATTTTTATTTTCAAAATGTTCAACATAGCCTAGATCCCAGTTTATTATTGCAATTAATTTCTATTTTTTTTCTCTCACAGAGATGGATTGTTTTTCAAGGAAATTTAGAAACAGGTAGGCATGGCGATTTAGAAAATATTGTTTGATTTTGCGAGTAGACTTAACAGTAATAATAATGGATGTCGTTTGTCTGTATTATCCCAGAATAAACATGCTTGAATGGACTAAAACTAATATGATATTATAGACCGGTTTAGGTTTATAATAATAAATGTTATGTTTTATGTTACATCATTATTAGAGCATATTAATAATATTAAATGCTGTGCTGTTACGTCACATTTTGAGGGAGGATCGTCGCATCATCATCATTGTCATAATCATCTTTACCATTATCATCATTATCATCATTACGATCAACATTATAATATACTTTATCATTATCATATTGTCAAATTCTTCACCAGCATCATCATAATAACCATTAATATAATTTAATTTGATTATCCACACAATAATGTGAGGTTATATAATTTCGTTCTCTTAATGTTTACCAACTCATTTTAATCACGATTCTAGGCCTCTACCAAATAAAGTTATACAGGAAGAACGCTGAAAGGGTCCTCAAACGTTCATACACAATATCAAGAGAAAACTTTGTAGGAACAGAAAAGGGAACTTTGGAAAAATCGAAGAAGTCCAAAACACAAATTCTATACTGGGCAATAATTTTAGTCGGAGAAACAATATTTTTTCAACAGCAATCAACAAGCACTTGGATACGATCTGAAATTGAGGAGTGGAATAATACATTTAAGTCGCATTTTGACAGTGGTAAGTATAAAATATTTTGTTTAGTAATTGTTCATTCGCATATTGCTGAAATGAAACATATAGTAGTTTCCAACCTGTGATTGAGTGGGATAGAACTCGTGGACAACTGGCACGAGTGCGACTATGACATCACAGTTCGGTGTGAAAAAAATAATTTGTATTGACATAAATAATTAATAAATCTGACATTATTCCGGTTATAAATCATATACCGCGTGATGTGAGCTCTTTCCACGAAATGAGACTTATCTTTTTTGAGATAGTTTCCAAAACCGGTCCCTGCGAGTATTTCTATAAAATGTTGGTCTCAATTTTTTTTAATATATTAATATTTTTTTATTTTATTATAGTATAATTTTTGAGTAGATTTTGTTAAAATAGATTTTATGCACCAGCCTTATTAATTTATTTGTTAATTGTTAGTTCAATTTAAAGGCTTAGATTTTCTCAAAACCAAGTATCCAACATCTAGAATTCAATGCATCCCTAGATCTACTTATCATAGGAAAGTCATTAAAAGACAAAATTAGATGCTTGTGGTGTGACCAGGTCTATCTGTATTATTCTATGTGACTCACTGTTGTGGTGAGATCTTAATTTATAGCTCAAGGCGTAGCTATAAAGTAGCCGTCTATCCGTTTAGCCAAAGCTTTCTGAAACTCACTCAACTAGCTATGTGAAGCATACTTCGGTATTTTCCATCTGTTCCTTACCACTCACCTCCAACACTAAAGAAACGAGTCAAACTTTAATTTAGTGCTGGTTCACTTCTGCACTTGCAGTGGAGCGTTATTATTCTTTGGATACCACTCACGCTCAAAGCTGTGTGATCCTTCGGTATTTTCCATCTGTTGCTGTTCATTCCAAAGACTGAAGTATATTCGAATTTATTAACATTTACATTACATGACCAATTTATGACTGAACTTTCCATGAAGCGACCATAATTAAGGTACAACTCGTATCAATAGCTTTTTGAATTGAAGCATCTTGGTTTTTTTTCCCACCTGTTTCTCTTACCAACCAATTAATTCCAACGCTGAAGTTCAACGAATATTCGAGTCAATATCATTAACATTTCATGACAAGTTTATGACTTCACTTTCCACGAAGCATCTATTAAGACGCAGCTCGCCTCAAAAGCTTGGTGAATTGAAGCACCTTGGTTTTTTTCCATCTGTTTCCCTTGCTAACCACTTAATTCCAACACTAAAAGACCAACAATTTCGAGTCACTATCATTTACACTTCATTACTGTTGTACGGCCGCAGTTGCCGTGAAGTACCTCTTACCTACAAGTGATTATTCGTAGCTTAATTGTGTGCGACAGTATGTGAAAACAGAAGGCGAACAAAATAAATTAATTTAATGGTATATTAGTTTTCAAACTCTCACTGGCTCCTTGTCATTACACATCATTACGAAGTGAGGCCTAAACAATTGTTTAATTCAATTAAAGTGTTTTTTTTGTTGCTGCACAAGCCAACAAGGGCTATTATCTGCGCAAAACAATACAGTATAAAGGGGAAAAAAAGCCAATACAAAAAATTAAATGTAAGTTCGTGTACGTCTGTTTAATTATTCTTTGTTTCTATGAAGACACACAAACTACTGAAAAAACACAAAGTAGTTTGCGTCTTTTCGATAAGCATATTTATTTTGTCTCCACCAACAGAAACACTCAAGATTGCTGCGCCTCTTCGTGATGACGGCCACGATTGATTTGAAATTGCGTTGTTATGCAATATGTTATATTCAAGTTCATTAATAGTGAGGCTAAATCGCAGTAAATACAAAAAGGTTAAAATAACCTTCACGAGAAATGTGTTGAACTTGATTTATTGTGTGACTCACTGTTAAAATTCTCTGGTGAGATCTCTACAAACACAGCGATATAGAATGCTGTATTTAAATGTATAATTTTCATTTTAATCGACAAAACAGACAATTTACAAATTAAAAATAGTTTAGTTTTTTTTTTTAAAGTTATGAATGAATTTGTGTGTTACTGAATACTATGAATAATAGTAACCATCCTCATTCTCATTTTTATAAAACGCCTCCGTATCGTAGCAGTTAAGCGCTAACGCAATGGATGAGAATTACATTCAAAGATACCAAATGTTTCGTATAATTATTAATTAATTAATTAGCACAACTTACACATTTAGAACAATTATCTTATGTTTCAAAATCAGGGCTATACTGCATATCTAATGTTTTCACGTCAGAGAGATGGCCTATTCAAACTGTGTGTAGGCCCTACTACGCGCGCTTGAAGAAACAGCCGAAGGCCCATATACGTTTACATTTTAACTAGGATTAGAACAATAATATGAACAAGAATTGTGGCATACCGTAATTCTATGCTATAGCATATTTCATAATTTATATTGACACTGTTATGTACGGCAAAAGTACAAGCGGTTGCAAAGGAATTATTACATCATCGTATGTGTTATTCTTACCCCTTAGATATAAAAAGTATGTCACGTAATCATAACATATTAATCGAGGATCATTTGTGCTTAACTGATAGATAAACATGTACGTTTCTATACCCGTTTCTTTAAAACCAAACCGGACATAATTCAGCCTACTCATAATGCATTTCCAGGCTTAATTATGAATTAGTATTAAATTAATTTATCAGCGTATATATTGATATATTTGGCAACAAGCCCTTTGTAGTAATTGGGACTGCCTAGGGACATGCCCTTCGTGGTAGTTATTAATCATATTAATTATTAATAGTGGTTTGATAGAACAAAAGAAATCCAACAATAATGATTTATATAATTATTACTGACGTTAAAAGTCTTCGATATTGTTACAGTCTAATTATCGAATGATTTTTAACTTAATTATTATTATTATTATTATTATTATTATTATTATTATTATTATTATTATTATTATTATTATTTTATACAAATATAACAATATAGGCTACAGTATACTTTAAGGAGATAGGCAATTCGACGTGAGCTTCTAGCAGCTGCTAGAGAACGTCGAAGGCCAATTGAGTCGCACAGAAATTCATCGTGCACGAAAAACTATTATTATCATTAATATTATGTAAATGGTAATCAGTAGGATCATCGCTGTCAACATCTTCATTGACCGCCGGTCACCTGTCGATCCAGACCGCGATGATTCATTATTGACAGTACACTTCGTCATGATGTGCATCTATTTTCTACAATTTTCACTGAAACAATCACACTTAATGGGAAACGCACGTCATATGGTAAAAGTCAGCGAGGTAAAACTGTAATTTCACGAATAATATACTCGGTCACGTTGTTAGGTTATTGAACGTCGATAAACACCACCACCACCACCACCATCATCATCCTCATCATCATCATCATCATCATCATCATCATCATCATCATCATCATCATCATCATCATCATCATCATCATCATCATCATCATCATCATCATCATCATCAACAACATCATCATCATCAACCTCCTGCTCCATCATCATGTATCATCACACCATCATTTGATCATCATTCCCATCATCATTTTCGTCGTTAATCAGCTTCGAAACCACCATCACCACCATCATTATCATCATAACATCTCCTCCTCCTCATCATCATCATCATCATCGTAGCATTTCATCATCACATCATTATATCGTGCTATAATCTCATCATCATTACCCTCAACCTGCTCCCTCATCATCTTTAACACCACCACCACCACCATCATCATCATCATCATCATCACCACCATCATTATCGTTCCATTTATCACCCGATCATAATTTCCATTATCATCATCATCGTCGTCGTTCATCAACTTCGTCATCATTACCATTACCATTGCCATCATCATCATCATCACCATCACGCTATAGACATGATTAATAATGTCATCATCATTCATCCATCGCTACCGTCGATTACCCTTTTTATTATCATACGCCTCTTCTTGGTTACCGGCAGCCTAAATGACGATAAGCCAATTCGTAGTTTGAACTGCGCATGCCCGTATCATGGTCAATATACATAAACAAATATACACACAACATGGGTTTATGTCAATTGACTATATATGATACGGGCATGCGCAGTTCAAACTGTGAATTGGCTTATTGTTGTACAATGTGCTCACGAGATGACGTCTTAATTGATTGTGGGCCGCATCCATTTTAATTTTAGCAATTTTATAAGAAATCTCGATCCATTTGTCTCACAAATTGACTGTCATATTGCGCGTATCTACGATCGACAATAGTTGACAAGTGGTAGTGGCAGTGGGGACCGGGGCCACAGCCACCCATCGGGGAGAAAAAATAACACAATTCGTTGGAGAGAAAAAAAAAATTCAATGTGATTTTAACAGAATATGAGACTCTTTCGGAATTTCCAGGACTCCCCTCTGAAGTGTTATAGACCGTCCCAGTGACCCGCCCTCTTAGACTCAAGTCGGGGAAAATCGGCCTTCCTGTCGGAGACATTGGTCCCTCGTGGGGAACGTTTTCCTCTCGTCGGGGACATTACCCCCCCCCCCCCCCCCCCCCCCCCTAAATTTTCCCCCTGCACTAGAGTTGACGTGGAATTACCAGCGAACCACTTTAAGGTTAATGGGGATAACGCACAAACAAGACCATTTTAAATGCTGTAGTTTGTAATTTTGTTTTTTAAATTCTTTAAATTTGTGTGTTTTTTGTTTTTTTTGGTTTAATTCTAGTGAAATATTAATTTATACTCGACTTGAAGCTCTGTCTAAAGCAAAACAAAAGGCTAACTGTTTGGAGTTTAAATTGAACCGCGAATATACTATGTTCAGAACGGGGAGCAACAGTAGTGTAGTCCTATTACAGGTGATGAAGCGGTTATCCCCTAGGCCTATATTTATGTTTCACCAGTGCCGCCGAGAGGCAGCGGAAACCGGGACAAGTGCCCCGGGGCCCGGATTCGGCAGGGGCCAGGACAACTATGTAAAAAACAATAAAATAAAATAAATAAAATAAAAAATGATATACGTATACATTCATCCGGTGTAATTCATATGTTATCCCACGAGAATTGTTAATAAAGCTGACCGTTTATCGACGAAAGCGGGGGAAGGGGCAGGGAAAGCTGCCCCCCGGGGACAAAAAGCACAATTCATCGGGGAGAAAACAAATGTATATGTATTTTACCCTAGGCCTATTAGTATACTCTAAAATCGATTAAATAAGCCTTTGAAACCCCTAAATTGTCCAAATTTTCGGGGGTTTCACTCCAAGACCACCTTCGGAACCTTTAATTCGAAGCTCGACCACGCCCACTTTGCTTTCGTCGGGGAAATCTGACCCCTCGTCATCGGCCCTCGGTGGGGACCTCGGTCCCCCTGTCGGGCAAATCCTGGCGCCACCCCTGACGAAAGCTCGTAATTAATTGCTTCTAATTCTTTTTCATGACTTCTACCACTCTAGAGTTTACGTTTACAATATGTATCAAATAGTAAATTCTTTACGATATTAATTAATAATTATCAAACGCTTGGATCCTGGACATCGTCAATAATAAATATACGTTAGATAAAAATACAAATAGACCTTGATAGAGATTCAATTGTCAAGTAAATACTGATTAAACCAGTGGCAGATTTAATATTTCAAAATATACCAGAAATAGAGATAAAAAAGAAAATTCTACTCAAATTTAAGTCTAAGAGTTCCATTTCCGGCCGTCCAGGAGGTGCTATAATCATAAATTTTCTTATCTTAGATAGACCCTCCATCTGTGAAAATCCTTCTCCGGGCCCTCTATTTTAAATTCGTGGATTTGCTTTGATACCCACGTTATGAATCTTTTAAGCTCTACGTTTGAATAAAAGGAAGGATAGTTTTTACTTTTCATGTTTCTATACTCTAATCCGTTAAAAGGCCGAAACTTCAGGTGGGGGCCGGGGCAGAAGCCTGCCACTTAATCCCGCTGGGTCCTAGGCGTCCCCCAGACCCTCAACCAATGGGCCCGGGCAAAGCTGCCCCGGTGGCCACGGCCGCTCTCAGCAGCCCTGCGCCTCACTGTCAGGAGTACAAGCGATGATGTCTGAAGATCGTGAGAGGGGTGGGGGCGCATTAAATAGGTATACACTGACTGCAGCAGGCGAATGCGAGACGTGCACGCAAGTTGACTGTTATTATCTTTTTATTGTTTACTCATATCCACTCTTTAATTGATCTAATTCCTTTATTTTTATTTTCTTGCAGTTAGTAACCTTGTTTTCCCCAAAAAGGGATTCGCCTTGTCTGATGATCAACTGAGTTTACACTTAAGTAGTCAAAGTTTATCGTTAGTGTCTCTGAATCCACCAAAATGCTACGTTAAATGGGAACTGTCTCGAGTTCACGGCTGTCGAATCAACGAGAACGTATTAGGATTTCATATCAATAGTTCTGGAAGTGACGCAGGTAAGCTATCTATTTGGTTGTTAAGATCATTTTCTTTACATTTCAGCAATGAATGACAACGTAATAATGCAATAATGTTACTGAACAAACATTCTGGCATTATTAATGGACATTTATTCTAAACAGGCATCCGATATACAGAATGTATGACGGTTGTTTGATTAATGATCTGCACGGCAAGCTGGAAATATTCAAAAACAAGAAAGCAATACCGACGTACTTTCGATGCAGTCTGTTTAATATTATATATATAGGTCTACACACGGAAATTCCGATCGATCGGCAACCATCCAGGGACTCGAATGATTCGACAAGTTCTGCTTAAATAGCCAGGCTTGAACTTAATCACTTTAATCTGTCAATACCTCATTAGTTAAGCGATAGGCAACAAGCCTATATAGAGTTAATATAGCTCCATAAAATGTACTGAAATTTCGAGTGTTATTTTGTTTTCGTCAGTAATATTATATGATCAACAGTGTGTTAAAAACAAAACCAAATGTTCCCCTCGGTATTCCAACTTCAGACCCAAAATTCCGTTCATGTGGATATTATTATTATTATTATTATTATTATTATTATTATTATTATTATTATTATTATTATTATTATTATTATTATTATTATTATTATTATTATTATTATTATTATCATTATCAACATCATTATCATTAACATTATTATTATTGTTATTATTATTATTATAATTGCTGTTATTATTATTATTATTATTATTATTATTATTATTATTAGTTTCTCTACCAATTGAGTTACATTGCTCACATATGTAATAGATAAAATAGGCCTATATAATTTGTATGTATAGGTTTATATATGTATATGTAGAAAATGATGATGAAGAAGATGCATTCACGTTTGTTTCGAAACAATATAAAATATGATACATGTAGGCCCTACTAGTCTAGGAAAAAAATCTAAAAAAAAAAATGACGTCAGGAGGAGTGGAATGTTAAAAACAGTCATCCATGCCAGATGTCTTTATTGATACCTTCTGATCACCCCCAGCCTGGATGACAATTACGTCGGAACCTTATATGCAAATTAGGGACGTTTCTCAAAATGCCCGTCAAAAATAATTGAAATGTACATATAATCTGGCAACAAAGTGCCAACAAGATTTTTCGTTTTTAAATGATGGCATGTGAGGAGATATTATTCTGAAATTTGCTCCTCCGTAATTATTTATTATGTGATATTTGATAATGTGTACCGAGCATTGCATATGACTATCCACTGATCATAGATACAGGTATCTTATAATATTATCATAAACATATGTTACTATGTTGTTATGAACTTGTAGGCCTATTTTAGGTTTTTGACTTTATAAATGATCCACACTTTGCCATATTTATATTATCTTAACTTACCACATCTTCTTTCTGCTTTCTGATGTTTTTTTTTTAAATACAGTAACAGTTTAAAAAAATGAAAAGGAGATATTGACAAAAAAGACAAAAAATAATAGACGAGTTGAATCAAAGAAGTAACAAAATAATAAATCAAAAGGATTAAAACAGAAAAATAAATAAAAATAACAGAAAAATAAATAAAAATAACGTAATATGATATACGTATAGATATAGATAGGCCTATAGATAGTGTATATAGGCAGTTTCACAGTAAATGGACACGCTATCATGACATTTTCATGGAAAATAGAATACAGAGGATTTAAGCCAAATTCTGTGGAACAAAAGATATGATATCAATGTTTTGAAAAAGGGTTGTAATAAGATAATCAAATTGTATTTATACCCATACATACATTTAGATCAATGACCTTTAATAATGGCTGCAGTTAAAATAAAATACAAGATTACCAATTTTTCTAGATATATTGAAAATAACGCATAGATTTCCTTTTAGGAATATTGAACCATTTTGAACTTCCTATTTTTTTTTTACTTACAAATGTTACAACCATTATAAAACCCATCAAATTGCATATTTTTAAAATAAAAGATAGAAACATTATTGTCGTGTCACACTTTTGAATGGAAAGGCTGGAAAGTACGTCAATTTATCATTTTTTTACTGCAAATTGTATGACATTGAAATGTTTTAAATATGTATACTATGCATTTATATGATTATATACATGTAAAAATATTTCATTTTAAACAATAAAATCTTTGGTTATACCACAGGATCTGTGGTTATATCTTGCTAACAAATATTGCCTGGGGCGTCTCCATTATTTACTGTGAAATTGCCCTTATACTATCTGACTTTTTCTTACTTCACTCACTCGCCACTAAAGAAGTTTTATAAGTTACACAGTCTATGGAAGATTACATAATCATTAATATTTTTTTCTAAACAGTAGTTCTAAATTTACCTTTCTTTCACATATCATGTTCCATTTTCATTTAAGAAAAAATTCAAAACCATTAACCATTTTCCTTCTTTTCGTTTTTTTTTCTTATTTTTTTTTTCATTAATTCGTTTTCTTTTCTTCATTTTTTTAAATTTTTTTCATTTTTATTTCATTATATGTTAATGTTAGTGTGATAGGACATAACC